TTCATTCATGCTTTTTTGCATATCCAAATAAACAGGACTTGTACAAACCCACCACTGTGGTCTTTGTATAACTTGTATTGTCCTCAATTCCGTTAGTTGCCTTGTACTTGAGGAATTAAAGTTTATGCGCCAAAAACCCCACTTAACTCTTTCTACAATGCTGCCCTCTTGTGTTATAAAACTTTAATAGTTTTGCCACATGAGTAATGTTGCCACACTTACATTTTTTTGCTTAACAAAATTGTATGTTAACCATGTTTCAAGTGTACCTAAATTTCCCTAATCTCTTTTTCTCCCACAAAATCAGTGAAAAAAATAATCATTACAATAACTGTTGACCATCATCCATTCTTATAAGTTGTGTCCATGGCAAGATGGCAGATGGAGCACCACAATGCAGGTCCTGCCCTTTTTGTGTGTATATCAATGTCTCTCGCACAGATTCAAAATGATGAAGTTTACAGTTGTAAGACCAACCCTGTTTTGATGCCCTTATTGTTCCTGCTGAAACAACTGTGAGATGCAGTCTTTTTGGGATTTCTGGCATTGATTGTCAAGCTTTGAGGAGCAATATGGAAATAAAAATTGTCTACCATCTGTCTTCGCAAGCCAGAGTATCATCTTTCTTTTTTATTTTCATTTTTATAAAAGTAAGCATCTAGAAAGGATAACAGAAAGGTATGTACATTATCTGCTTTCCTTGCCTTACCAAAAAAAATTTTAAATGTTGTGATTGAAACATCATGACATGGCCAAAAATTCTAAGATTTCAGTCTAACAACATGAGATGCCATGATATTTTACATGAGAACAATATTTGTGGCATTCTTTGGAGAAGTTTTATGAGAGTTCCAACCTCATAAGGTGTTTTGCTATTTTAAAAATTCTCATTTATTATTGCAGGATATAATAAGCAAGTGTTGAAAGTAAAAATAAAAACAAACAAAGATAAGAAATTCAGAAGGCTAAAAGGTTAACAAGGCAGCGGGATTGTCCTCAAGCCACCAGTCATCCCCAGTACTCTTAGACCCACATGCTAATTGGCAAAGCCAAGGGTTAACACTATTCCATAAAACCTGAAGAGTGGGAGCTCACCACAACTCTGGGAGTCAGATGTTCCAAAGGGTGGGGGCCTTCTCTTAGATCCCACCAGTCAAATTCCTTGACCTACCAGAAACACAGCATGCCTCCATTCTTGATGTGGTGGGATGGGTCACTGCAATTGGGATGAGATGGTTATTCAAGTGCTTGAGTTCCCTGGCATCAGGAGCTAGTTGCGGGAATATCAGATAGACTTCCTCATCAGCAGTGGTTTTACTGGCATGCTGGGTCTCATTAAGGCTGATATTACTTACTGTAACACATTTTCTTTTTTGTCCTTTCTTACATTAAATAATTGCAGGGCAATTAGTCAGTTTATATGTCATTTCAGATGTGTTCATTATATTAATTTTACTGTAAGAAGATAACTTTATTTCAGAGCAAATTGCCTAGCATTGTAATAGCAGAAGGATTTTTTTTTCTTATTCTTGTAATTGGAGTGGAGGCTAAGAGGTGAAAATGTGCAATTTAATATAATATATAATATGAACTATTTTACGGGGAGTTTCAGAACTAAAAATATAGAATAAAAAAGAGAGATTAAAAGGCTGGTTATGTAGTTTATAGCTCAATTAATAATAATATTTGTCTAAAGGGCTATTCCCTTCTTCTGTGGAGCCTAAATGCATGACTGTACATTTCCATTTGCATACTGTTGGATGGTAAAAGGCAAAATGATTTCTCGATTGAAAATCTAGGAATCTTGTTGGATTGCAGTACAAGATGAATATAAACCAACAGTGTGATGTATTTGCCCTCCCTCCCCTTAAAAAAGCAAACATAGTCCTTGGCTCCATTAAAAAAAGTATAGTATCAAAGTCAACAGAAGTAACGGTTCCTCTCTGTAGTATTAAACCACATTTAGAGTAGTACTACACACCCTAGTTCCAGGTACTGCATTTTGGAAAGACACTGAAAAAATGTGTCACGTCTTTTCTTATATATAATATATTAATGATTTTCTCATTTTATAATTGAATATTTAAAAAGCAATGTGATGGGTTGATCAATAGTTCAATAGCATACATAAGTCTTTAGTATAAATCTCATTTATTTATTTATTTATGAGACTTATATACTGTTTTAAGTGCAAGCACTCTCTAAGCAGTGTACACCAGTAAGCAATGTATGTATGTATGTATGTATGTATGTATATATATATATATATATATATATATATATATATATACACACACATACATACATACATACATACATACATACATACATACATACATATATATATATATATATATATATATATATATATATATATATTTACATTGCCCCCAACAATCTGGGTCCTCATTTGAGCCAGTGAGATTTGAACCGCTGACCTGCTGAACACAGTCAGCTAAAGTGGCCTGCAGTACTGCACTCTAACTGCTGCGCCACCTCGGCTCATATTACAACATCAACTATTTCCTCACTTTTTCCATTAATATCTGCTATTTCATATTGGGCTAGTAGAGTTCTTATTATTATCAACTAAATAAAAACATCTTTGTTACAATTATCAATAAATTTTAGCTTATACATATCTTAATTGTGTTTGCACTTGATCCTTGTATACAATCAATGTCCTGTTATTGCTTTTTTTTCCAGGCATTAATTTCCCATCAATATTCAAATTAACATTATTATTTATAATTTCCAAATATTTTATATTTAGGTGACCAAAGTTTCCCTTATCTCAACTTCATGTGTCATGTCTGAAGGACAACTAAAACAAGGGAAATACAATAAAACCAAGTTTAAATAAAAGATGGCAAGAACAGACCAGTTAGGAATGAAGTAAGGAGTTTCACCCTCCCTCACCAAAGACCTGGGTGAAGATCCAGGCTTTCATAACTATTATAAACAATAGCAGAGTGGGGCTATCTACCATAGGTCTTGGGGAAGACTCATTCCAGAGGGAAGGTGTTCTATTGAAAAAGCATGCTTCCAGCGTCCCAATAGATAACATTGTTTAATTGAAGGAAGCTGGAGACTGCCAACCCTACAAGACAGAATAGGCCAGGCAGATAACTACAGTATTGGAGACTGACAGTCCCTCAAGTCACCAGGTTTTACACGAGGTAAAGCTTTATTGTAGATAATGACTAGCACCTTGAATTGCAATTGAAAGCAAACTGGCAAGATAACTTATGAAGGAGATATGTGGGCCTACTGAGGCATGCCCATCACTGCCCATGTTGCTGCATTGAAAACCAGCGGAAAATTCTGGGTGGTCTTCAAAGGGCAACCCATGAAGACCACCTTACAGTAGTCAAGGTGTGTGGTGATCAGGGTATGAGTGTTTGTCTGAAGAGCCTTTCAATCTAGAAAAGAATGTACCAGGCGCATCATTTGGTGTGTAGGAACTGCAAGTCTAGCAATATGCCCTGGTTGGGCTAGTGATTTCTAAAATACCTTCAAAACAGTTTTATTCCACATTTTACATTTGGGCTGTGCAGGTGAAGAATGAAGAATACCTCAGTATCCACGCTTTAAAGCTACCAAGCAAGGGCAATGTGACTTAATTAAGGCCTTCCTGAAGTCTTCAGGGTTGCATGCATATTTAGTGAAGCAAAGTGGTACATTCTTTTGCATATCCATATGCATGCCTAGAAGGTTTTAGAAAGGCAGCCAAACAGAGAAAGTCCAAATGTTATCCCTCTCTCCATCTGTTAGATTTTTTTACTCCTGAGGTGATGATGAACATGTCCCTATCTCACTACTTTTACAACATTCTTGGGAAACAGCACAAAAATGAGGAAAGACTAAGCTTCATGATAACAGCTTTTTCTTTTTCCCCAATAAGACTAGGATTTCATTCAGGGTGGTTACTTGGCCAAGTTGAACATAGATGTATTAAAAGGGAAAGTGTGAAAAATCTTTTAGTGACCTCCATAAAGGGACATGAATCCGTATGTGCATAGAAAGCAATGCAATATAAACCACTTTAGCATAAAGTTTTCTTGGGTTGGCTGTATGTGCATGTGGGTTCATAGATTCTGTACAAAGGGATCAGTGTTAAACAGCATTTCCTGCCTGTAAATGCAGAGATGATCTGAGAAAGTTTTAGAAGATGTGCTTGTTTCCATGCTTGAGGAGGAGTGCTTCCTTCAGACCAATGTATCTTGATTGTTTTGTACCACTGTAATATGTACAACATTTATTGGACCACAGTTAAGTCAGATAAAGAAAGAGGAATACAGGCAGTCCTCAACGTACAACCATAATTGAGCCCAACATTTCTGTTGTTGATTGAGACATTTGTTAAGCGAGTTTTGCCCCATTTTATGACCTTTGTTGCCACAGATGTTAAGCGAATCACTGCAGTCGAAAAGTTAGTAATACAGTTGTTAAGTGGCTTCCCCGTTGATTTTGCTTCTCAAAAGGTTGCAAAAGGTGATCACATGACCTTGGGACACAGCAATGGGCATAAGTATGAACCAGTTGCCAAGCATCTGAATTTTGATCACATGGTCATGAGACTGCTACAAAAGTCGTAAGTGTGAAAAATGGTTATGACACTTTTTTCAGTGCCATTGTAACTTTGAACAGCCACTAAAGGAACTGTTGTATATCAAGGACTACCTATAACAGGAACAGTGCCCTAATCCCGCGCATAGTCCTATCTCCATTATGTTCAGGGGCAAGGCCTGAAGAAAATCTAATAGGCCTTGTGATCAGCTTTGTGATTGTGTACAGCACTGTAATGCAACTCATCTAAATGCATTCAGAATTTCTCTACATATTTTCTGCATCAATGTGAAAGATGCTAGTAATGGATTGAGACAGGATCAGCATCACATGCACTCCATTTCTCTTGCATAAATTGAAAATATTGGCTTCTGAAGTAAGCTGTTATCTATTAGCATCTGTTGCATAATTCTGCCTTTTTTCTGATTTAGAGATTGTCCGAGCAATGACACATGTGATTGATCGGGGGATGACAATGTATTGGGGGACTTCGCGCTGGAGTGCCATGGAGATTATGGTAATCTAGCTTTTGGGGAATGAACAATAAATCAACTAATTCACATTTAATTAAACATCAAAAAAGTCTGGCCTGAAATAGCTATGATTCTATAGTCTCACATTTGTGGGCCATGTACATAATGTTGTCATCAAACATTTTCCTCTTGTATTTTCATTGCGGGAAAATGTCAAAATTGAAAGATTAGTGCCTGCATCTCCTATGTTATTACTTTTGAATAAATTGTAGAAACATTGGAATTGGGCTGAGTATTGACTTGCTCTACAATTCTTCCTTTGTTCCCCAAGGCCAAAATGACCAGCAGGGCATCTGCTTATAGGGATTAAAAATGCATCAGTGAGATGCATGATCAACTTGACGTAGACCTAAATCTTCATCATGCATGCTTCTTCCTTTTCCCAACGTATGTTGATTTGTATGTTCCTATAATTATTTTGTAATTCAAGAGCTGTTTTATACACTGTTAGCCAGCAACTGAAGCTGCACTTGCTTTTTAAAATATAGCTTTCTGATTTATCATTTCAATTTCTACATTGCCATATTGCATTCATGGCAGCTACTATATATAAAGTGCCTTTGTCTTTACTTAATGCACCCACATTTTTGCAAATGATGTTTTGTCACTCGTGAGAGAATGCTATCTGCAGGCTTTTGTACCTTTTTTTAAAAAAAAAAAAACAAAAATGATCAGATCATTCAGAGCAGTGCTTTTTTCATTGCTCCAAATATTTTTAATGTATTCACCGAGTAAATCGAGTGTCAGATCCTTAATACATAATGCCTGAATGAGGAATGGAAAACAGTAGGTTTGATTGATGTATGATTTTATGCCTGAGGAATTCTCCCTGCTAATGTATTTTTCTTTTGCTGCTGATTCTCAACAGGAAGCATATTCAGTTGCAAGACAGTTTAATATGATCCCACCGGTATGTGAACAAGCAGAATATCACCTTTTCCAAAGAGACAAAGTTGAAGTTCAGTTGCCAGAATTATACCACAAGATAGGTAATGTACCAAGGCAGCGTCTTTCATGAAAGAAAGAGAAATTAATTCTTTTTATGTCCAAAGCATATACTTGGAGACAGTGCCTGTCCCCTACTGTTTAATCATTATCGTAGGTATATAAATCTTTGCCTAGAAGAATTATCTTTATACATGGAAGGAACTGACAGCAAGGCTTCTTCATGACTGCAGCAGTTTTATGTCATGTATAAAAACTACAGATGTTCATTTTTTCACTCCTAAAGGTCTAAGATTAGATTTTTTTTATCCCATCTTTATTATTTTTATAAATAACTCATACTTAATATTCCTTCCTCCTCCTACTTTCCTCATAGCAACAAAACTATGAAGTGAATTGGGGTGAATCACCCAGCCAACTTTTATGCTTAAGACAGGGATAGAACTTACATCTCCTGGTTCCTAGACCGGTGTCTTAACCATTTGACCAAACTGGGTGCAATCCTAAATAAACTTTCTAAGAAATAAGCCTCCGTGAGAAGACTGGCATTTCTCTTCAATAAAATAGGCAATGAATTGCACAACTGCTTTATTCTGGTCTTTGAGGTTCCCCACATGGACTGGGGCTTGCATAAAGTGGGATAAAAACCACATTCATTTTATATATTTTGCATTATTTTGAAAAACGTCTAATCTCTTTCCTGACTAAACATTTTCTAAGCCTCAAAATGATGTAACTGTTCTTAGATAAATGGTTTCTAGCCTTTTATTCTTTGGGGTTTTTAAAACATTTTTGTTTGTTTTGATATTTCTACAGTATTGTCTCACTGATTGCTTTGTAGGAGTTGGAGCAATGACTTGGTCTCCGCTTGCTTGTGGGATTATCTCAGGAAAATATTCCAGTGGAGTCCCCGAAGGATCAAGGGCATCCTTGAAGGTATTTCTCTCATAGGCTACCTGGGCAACCTGCCTCACAAGAGCTTCACCTGAGTCCTGAACTACTTTTGTCCTATAATATGTTTTCTACTTAGTATAAACAAATATGAAGGACAATATGTATCCTTGTCTCTAGAAGAAACCTCAGCTTTCCCATTGTCTCTTATTTCATCCCTTGGTTTCTTTTCCCATCAAATTTCACATAAGCATACTGAATCTATTCCTTGCATTGGTCTTATATTTTGAAAAGATGACTTCTCTTTGAACTTTTAAGTTTAATCCTTATATTTTGATCTAGTAATCATGATCTGTCCGTTATCAGAATCAGAAAATGTCCTGGTTGACTGGATTTCACTTCTCTGTCTTCTATTTATTAATATATGGTTAGGTTTATTCCAATATGGTTCATTTAATGATGTTCATTTGTAGAGTTTATATCTATGTTGCTTGAAGCAAGAATCAGCAATAAATAGATTTTCTTTGCAAAACTCAACCCATCTCACCTGTATTATTGCATTTATCCAATCAGTCAGTCCATCAATAATATTTATTCAGTGAATGACCAGCAAAACATTATTCAATAAGAATCTGTCTGTAGTTCCAAGATCTTCCATTCCGTGAGTTTTTGCATTCTAAACATCCATTCATGGCATTGTGTTGTTTCAAGATATTGCAGTTTACCATTTTGCCTTTTGCAATAGAATATCTCAGTCTCTTCAATCACAGCACCTGCATTAAATGCATGTATCAGTCTAAGATTAATCTCTATTGGTAGCCACTAATTCTATCGATCATTGGGTTATAGCTGAGCACATACAGAACAATATTTTTTAAATATTATTGCCACTCCATTTCTTCACATTGTCTCATGTCTGAATCATCTAATCAATTGAAAGTAAAGTGGCGTATTTCAGGCCATTCACCCACTCATAGAACATTCCAACTCAATATACTTTATTCCTGTTTTCATTTTTGCTTTTTAAAATTCTCTCTTCCAACTATGTGTACTTTTACAAGTACTTATGTGTACTTGTAACACAAAGAACTCCTGTTTAAGAACTGGCACCATCAATGACCAGACTCTTCCGGCTCTAGTCTGACCACATCATCCCTCTGAATTGTGAAAGTACAACATTTTCCCCCAAGTAATTAAAGACATGCCTTCTAACCTGGAAATCTTGTCAGTTGACATACAGACTTGTCTAAATATTTCACCCGTCTAGACAGTTTTCTTGGCAACAATGTAAAAGTTGTTTGCTATTTTGAAGAATGACACAATGCATGCCAATTATTGTGGTGTATTCGAAAGCAGTCTTTACAGCTTCACAGCTCGGTCCTTAAGGCAGATAGGCGGCTCCACACAAGAGATTAATGGACAAATGTTTTGTTGTGCTTAGCTCAGATTAAGTATGTGAATTAAATGGAGGTTAAATACAACATAGAAGTAAACTTACCTCCCATCCTCCAACCATTCCTATTAGAATAATTTTGTTCATGATTGCTGGTCATTGTATGGTTAGTATAACTACCCTTACTGATGATAGTGACTATGATTACAAATCAAAAGTCTTTCTGAATTTAGAACTACAGTTTTCAACAACCTTCACCATTAGCCAGATTGGTTAGAGCTATTGGGTATCTTCAACATCTGGAAGATCATAAATTTCCTATTTTTCTTCTGTATGATAGCAACATGCTCACACAACATGCAAACTTTGGTTAATAATAACTATGGTTCTTTTCCTGTGACTGTAAATCAAGAGTGATTAGTAAATTTATTGATTCAGTATGTTGAAAGAGCCAGAAAGTGGCTTCATTCAGTAACCTCTGTGGACGTATAATGTAATACATACATTTTCCAATAAAACTTGTATATGTATAGTACATACATTTTCTGATAAAGCTTTGAAATAACATTGATCAGCAAAATGAAGGTGAGAATTAAGGGCTTAAGGGCTGATATAAACCAGGCTCCTCCAATGTGGTCCCCCCTTATATGTGCTGAACATCATATGTAATTCTCAGCTAGTATGGCAACTAGGTGGAAAATCTGTGAGTTGAAATTCAGACATGTGGACTTAAATTGTCTTTTATTGTGTTTTGATTTGCTAGTGCTATCAATGGCTAAAGGAGAAAATTGTGAGCGAAGAAGGAAGAAAGCAACAAACAAAACTGAAAGAACTTTTCCCAATTGCTGAACGCCTTGGATGTACACTACCTCAGCTAGCAGTCGGTAAGGAATTTTGGGGTTCCCCCCCAGTCCATATTTTTTTATCTTTGTGCTCAGTGATGCTTAACCGCGTTGACATTATGAGCTTGTTCTCGTGTAGAATTTTCCCCGGTGATGTCATAATTTTATTTATGTATGGATTTATTTGCTTATGAAAATGCTGTAATGCTGTCCCGGTCCCAGGATAAGATGCAGGAGAAAAAAATGACAGCTTGGGCTTTGTAACCCCAATTAGATATATGTTGTTTGTGTAAATTTAAATTAATAATGTGTATGTGTGTGTTATGATGTATATGTATGATAGAGCACATATTTCTGAAGCAGGAAGAATACTTAGGTTGGATGTAGCTGTAGTTATAAGTCATCATCATCATTGAAGATATACTCTCCATTTAAGAGAAAATGGAAAATGGCTCATTGAACACAATGCTAAAAATTTGCCATTTCTTCATTAAAAGCCAGATTTAACTACACTAAGGATTGCTCATCAAAAACAGCAGGATTTAATTTACTCATGATTTCAATCACATTAATTGGGGTGGTCTCCTTTAAGTCTGGATCCAATTAATTTAAATATACTTTTGGTGTTGAAATAATTTAATAGCTACATTTTAAATCCAAGCATGAATTTCAGCATAATTAAAATGAACAGATATAAGTATATTCTAATGGTTACAGAACTGGGGAGACCTAGGTTCAACACCACCCCGGTAGCCAGCCAATGGTCTTAGATCATAATTGCAAATAAAATCCTACTTACAAAATTTAAAAAGCAGCAGCAGCAGCAAAAACAAACTAAGGAAGCAAAACATGCTTCACCTGATAAATGAAAACAGAATCCAACCAAATCTTCCAGGTTATAAAATCTTGCTAGTTAGATGCCACCACAATAAAAGCTGTTTTACTATTTATGTTAACAAGATGATATGGCACAAAGATCCCATTATAAGCATGCTCCTTATTTAGATAGATCCACAAATATACACTCTTTGATATTATGATGGAATTAAGGAGAAACTTCCTGACAGTGAGGACAATTAACCAGTGGAATAGCTTGCTCCCAGAAATCATGGACGCTCCATCACTGGAGATTTTTAAAAAGAGGCAGCTAGACAGTCACTTGTCTGAGATGGTATAAGTTCTCCTGCTTGAGCAGGAGTTTGGACTAGAAGACCTCCAAGGTCCCTTCCTGATTCTATTCTATTCTATTCTATTCTATTCTATTCTATTCTATTCTATTCTATTCTATTCTATTCTATTCTAATATTCATGAATGTTCATTAAATACAAAACTGCATCAAAATGACAAGTTATATCATTTGCATAAGATCAGTGACACAAAGTGCATGATTAATTCCTACAAAAATTAATGGCAAGCTGTAAGTAATATTCACAATTCATTCTTACAAAGAAAACCTTTCATATATGAATTTTTCATAATAGCAGTATAGTCCAAGTTTTGCAACTTACCAGAAACCTTTGACATTTAGGTATTTGTGAAAGGTAATTAAAATTAATTAATTTTAATTTGATTAAAATGTATTTTCTTCAAAATTTCATTAAACATTTATTATATATACTGCTTTTGTTTTTCAACATATTACTGAGTTAGTTCTTAATTAATATAATGAATTTTATGAACATTGAAACGATACGGAACTGACCTGTAGGAAAACTGAAATTTTGAAAGGCATTGGGAAGTGTTTCACTAAAATAATAATGGTGAAAGGAAAGGCCTCATAAAACTTCTGAGAATTACAGTAAGTCTGCCAATGTAATGTTATCTTTGCTGACTCCAAAATGCTCTATTATGTTCTTCCCATGTTCCCAGCATGGTGTCTTCGTAATGAAGGTGTGAGTTCTGTTCTCCTTGGATCATCCAATGCTGAGCAATTGATAGAAAATCTGGGTGCCATACAGGCAAGTACAGAGGCTTTCTTTGGGATTAGTTTTGTTGTTCAGTCACTAAGCTGTGTCTGACTCTTTGTGACCCCATGGAACATAGCATGCCAGCCCCCCCCCCGTTCTCCACTGCCTCCCAGAGTTTGCCCAAATTCATGTTAATTGAGTCGATGACACTATCTAACCATCTCATCCTCTGCCACCCCCTTCTCCCTTTACCTTCAATCTTTCTCAACATCAGGGTCGTTTCCAATGAGTTCTCTCTTCTCATTTGGTAGCTAAAGTATTTGAGCTTCAAATTCTTTTGGATTAAACAAAGCAAAAAAGAATGACCATTGTATGGAGATTAAAGGCATTACAGAATTCAATTTTTCTTGAGTTCCTTTGCAATTGGAATTCAGTTGCAATTGTTTTAAGCTGTGTTTCAAAATCATAGAGCAACACTAGTTAAAGTACATGTGTGTTTCTTTGCCTGCAGGTTCTTCCAAAGATGACATCTCACATTGTGAATGAAATTGATAATATTTTGGGGAACAAACCTTTCTGCAAAAAGGACTACAGATCCTAATGTACTGCATGATTAGTCTGGACTGCATGGCTAAACAATAGCTCTGTGCATAGTAGTGTACCGAGTTGATACTATCCAGTTACAATAAAAAATACTCTGCAATTGTAACTTACTAAATCCTCCAAGGCAGTTATGTTCCACCAAAATTCAGTAACATAGCTGATCTGTCTAAACTAAATTGTCTTTACTGTTTTTAAAATATATCAAATCTTAAGAGTTTGGATTAAATCTTGACTGAGATCAATTTGACTCTAATGAAAGAATGAAAAACACAAAAAAATGCAGAAACATTCAGTTAATCAGGGTTTGTGTAGGATTTTCCTAACAGATTCTGACCCCACTGAGTCTTATTTTTCTTTCTTCCTATTTATGCCGTGAAAATACAAAGAATCAAAGATTTCTAAGCCTTAGGTACTTGAAAATAAAAAGAAGGATGTATAGCTATATTTTTTCAATAAACAAAAAGCAAGATACAATTGAAAGCTTAAGACAATTTCAGGGATTTAGATTCTTCAAGCTATCTTAACTATAGGTAAGTTCAAAGTTTTGCCATTTGCATTTTTAAATAGAATTGATTTCTAGATAAACTGTTTAGCTTGGGTTTTGGCTGAAAGAAGGGTTTACTGTTTAAAGACAAAAAAAAAATGAGTAATTAGAGATTGCTATGTCTATCATCTAATTTTAAAAAAATGTATCTGTTCCAGCCAAACACTTATAAGCAAGATTCAGACTGTAAACCTGCAGGCAGGACTAACTTGTTTTTATTGCTATTATATAAGCCATTCTGGCATGCTGAGAACTTTGCTTGAAGCACAGTGTAAGAATGCTTTAAGAAAGAATGCTTGGAATTGCTGTACAATCCCATTGAAATAACATAATTTTAATGTGATTTTGGCTGGATTGTAATGCATTGTTTTAAAAATGTCAAGTTATTTTCTGAAGTGTAAGTACTGAAGTAAACAGGTACCATGGAGATTGCTGTAAAATATTCACTGAAGAACACTTAGGCAGTGAAATTAAAAGAAAAATTATTGTTGCCACTGAAATGCTGTAGTTAAATGCTCTTTTACTAAAATCTTTTTGGCAATGTCTAGGCAACTGTATAATACTGTAAATGTACATAGTGTGTAGAACTGTATAATTTTCTGATAGCCATATAGATGAAATTTTTATCACAGTTCAATGAAATCCTCAGATTTTTGTTTGCTTGGTTCCTTTTCTTCCCCCCATTCCATTTGTAAATTGCATCTGTGATTATTATTATTGCAGCATTAGACCAACAGGAGTAAGTGCTTGGATTTTTCAATCATCCTGTCCATCTAAATATTAAAAATGGCCAAATATTAAACCATACTAATGTATGCCAGGGCTGCATTGTAGAATTTGGGTGCAAATTCTGTGCATGCATTTGTTGTAGCATATTAAAGGCTGTATTTTTATTTGCACACAATTATTCTGTTGCAGCCATGTGGCTAAAAGCCAACAAAAGCGAACAGAAATGAGGACACCATATGGTAAGAATCTGTACAAAAAAAAAAAACATGGGCATCCATGTGCATCAAGAATCTCTGTTCTGCCACACTTGCCAGGCTTTATTTACAAGTTTCCATGAAAGATACTCCAAATGGACAAAACCATGCAATTTTTTTCGCAATTGTAAGGAAACAAAGGGTATGAAGTCTCTGGCCACACCCTAGATTCCCATGTTGTCCTTCATTTAAGGACCCTTACCAATCTGGTTAAGCTTTTAAGTCCAAAATTAGCCTGGTACTTAAAGAAGGCAACTACTGTTCAGGCTTCAATACCGTGTAATTTCGAGCTCTTAACCATGCTTGTATCTTTTTTTTTCTTCTGTATTTTGCTTTTGTTGGCTACAGCTACTTGGATCCATCCTTTAACACCATGCAGAATGAACTCTACATAAAGTATTTTCATTTCCTGCGCATTACATCCCAGAAAAAGGCAGATTTTCCATGGGTTATGATAGTCTACTTTGATAGCAAAGAACCCTTATTGTAACAGAATAAATGCCATGCACTTAAGGGGTTTCTTAGGATTTTCCTTTGACTAGAAAGTAACATTTTTTCTGTTCTGTGCAATATCAGATGATTATAGGTTCTAATGGTGCAATCCTGTGCATTTTTAAAATAAATTTAAAAGATCTAAAATCTTCTCTTGCTAAATATTTATGGGGTTGCAATTTATGATCAAGATCTAAACTACTCCAGTGCTTTAAAATGCCAAGTATCAACTGTGCATTACATATTCCCTATTTTCTGCTATTGAACATTATTAATAATCTTATTTTCGGTCTCCTGCCATACAAATTGGCATATTTCTTTTTGCAATGGGACTCTTAATTTAGACTAGTGATTTATATACTCCAGACCATGTTCATGGAGATCAAAGGCTTCCAGTTCCCCTTTGTACAAAAGTTATATGGTTTTGCACATTTATCCAATATACTTGTGTGGTCCAGATGTCAGTAATTTATTACATCTCTTTCCAACCTAAAATAGTATTGTCTGTTCACTTCAGTGGAAACAGTAAGCTCTAATGATGTTCTTTAACCAAGATACATCAAGCTCCTGAAATGAAAAGACAACACTTCCATGCTTGTCTGAATTGGGGTAAGGAACACCTGCATATATTGTTCTGAGGTTTCTAAGACACCATCTCTACATCCAACATGTTGCTCTCGTTTGAAATTTCATATGGCAATCCTATGAACAAAGCAAGGTCCTGGGATTTTAAATAGATCCACCCTTTTTAATGTTTCTATTTCCTTCAGTATTCTATGTAAATGAACTCAATTGCTGTATACTAGGAATTGCTTTCTACTTTAGCTTGGACACAATAAAGGCATTTTGTGCCCCAAATATATGACTGGATCTATTGATTTTTGAGCAGGAAAAGAAATATTCTAAGGATTAAGTGCGGTTTCAATGCTGTTTTTAGTTTTATTTTTTTTCCCCATCCAGCAGTAGCAATAGCACTTAGATTTATAAACTGCCCAATAATGCTTTACAGCACTCTCTGGGTGGTTTACAATGTTAGCATATTGCCTCCAACAATCTGGGTCCTCATTTTACCGACCTTGGAAGAATGGAAGGCTGAACATTGAGCCCATCAGGATCAAACTTCAGGCTATGGCCAGAGTTAGCCTGCAATACTGCATTCTAACCACTGTCACAACAGGGCTAAGAAAGTGTATGTTGCAAAATAAAGCCAAACTATTTCTCCAAGAGCCACAGGATGCTAATTTAAAATTATGTGCTTCTTTATAATAACAAATATATTCACTGGCACTTGAGGTAACATAATACAAATTTCATTTGTGCTGTATTGGACTGAAGCAGGCAAAGATGCTTTGCACTCAGCATGGGCAACTTCCACCATGTGTTACCATCTGAACTCTTCTTTACCTCAAGCCTGTATTGCTATTGTACAAACTCAGAAAAATATATGCCTTCTTTGAGGAGGAACAGAAAGGATGCCCACTTTGGATTTGAATATTGCACACATGTAATGTTCAGATACATGGCAAACAGCTTTATGCCTCTAGCAAACTATTATTTTTAGCAATTTCTACAAGTCTGAAGATTTAATATATTTTAATGCTACCTCAGTCAATAGAATCGGTGTCTTGCAAAAGCCAATGTATATCGTATCAATAAAATGTTTAATATTTAGTAATAGTAATCATTGCCACTGCACATCCCAATACAATCTCTCTTTCACTCTTCAATCCCCCCCTACATAGTACCTCAAAAAAGCCAGATCTTAACAAGGTTTCAAAATGTTAAAAGTGAGGGTGGAGATCTTATTTCTGAGATAACTTACCCTCCTCACAGGAGGGTAGCTATGGTAGAGAACGCACAGCTCAAAGTCACCTCTTTGAGAAATGGGGGAAGGGGTCGTTCTTGTGTCTCTTGAGTAGGCAGATTCAGCTTGGAGCAAAATTTGGGAAATAATCAGGTCCCAAACCATACAAGCAGAGTTGGAGACTGGGCCACAGTTGTCAAGTAAAGCAGACCCAAGCCTGGGCCTTGAGGAGAAAGTGCCCAGGTTATCAAATTGGGCACAACTCATTTAATAACCACCCTGCTTAGCAATGGAAATTCTAGTACCAGAATTTAAGTCAAGAATTATCTTTATCACAAATTTACACGTACAATCACTGTTTTCAGCAAAGCTTTTTTTTAATAACAATGTAACAAAACCCCCCAAAAACTTCTAATCAAGAATTCCAGATCTAGCTGATGAAGTTCTCAAATGATACAACTGGATCCCTATGTCCACCTGAATAATCAAAAGTATTTTGAATAAGCATATTGCAAGCCTAAATTAGAATGCCTCATCTTCATGGTATTATTTTATAACAAAACTGCTCCCTATTCTCATCCCATCTTTTTACAAAAAAAGAAAAAGACCAATGTACAGAAAATGGCACTTCAACCTTCTTCTGATTGGGCAAGACAGAGTTGAATTCATGTACTCAAACAAATTCTAACTACTTTGAGCCTGTAGATAACAAAGCAATCAGTCCAGATGAAACACTGATGGAGAGAATGTAATTTCTGAAAAAGCAATTGTCAAGGAAAATGTTAGTAAGATGGATTAAATATATCCCAGGATTTCTTACTGCAAATAAATGTCTTGCGAAAGAACTGTGCAACAAACAGCTCCCATGTACACATAAATATATGAATACTACTATCTGATATCAAATGCAAAAAATCAAGGCACTTGGGAACAATCAACAATTCTCTTTGGCAGTGATATGGCACCTCATCAAATCACCTGTGTAGGCCACTGAATCCAATCTTCTGGCAGGCATAGGAATCAAAATGAACACACAAGAAATTGTTGCCCAGTCTATGCTTGAAAACTTCCAATGAAAGTCTGCCCACCACCCTTAAGGGTAATTAGTTCTAGGACTTTCTGCAACTTAAAATCCACTATTCGATATTCTGCATTGCAGACTGGGAGAAAACAGCACTTCACTTTTCTCTATGTGACATCGTCTCCAAGTTCTATGTTCACAATTCTGGTTCAATACAGAATGTTTTGAATTCAAAAGTAAATTGATCAGGGAATTTAAGTTATGTAAAGAGAACCCAGTAGAGCATCCCATCCAAGTTCTACGTGGCTCCCTTTCATTTAAAGACTACAATTATATTTTTTCCTCATTGCATTTGCTAAAGGCACTCAGTTCCTTCGCTCTTTCTTCATAGGGCTTAGTTTCTAGTTCCTTGATCACTTTCAATGATCTATTATGAATCCTTAAATTCTGGAGTTCAGAACTCACAATACCCAAGGAGCAGTTTACCCAAAGAGAAAAGAAAGGAATTGTTACTTCCTATGTCTGACAAATTATATTCCTACTGATATAGCTTAACATTACATTACACTAATTTGTTTGACTTGTATACCATCCATCTCACCTAGTGGTGACTTTTTGAAGCCAAATCACACTGTTTAGCCATATTAACCTGCAATCCATGTTCACTCTAGACCAGGGGAGTTCAAACTGCCGGCCCACAGGCCAGATGCACCATAGCAAAACGGTGCCCACTCTATTGCCAGCAATGGAAAAAAAGTCACGACACGTCATGACACGTCATGTTGT